ACCAGTTGCTTCCTGAGGTGCCCCTCGGGGAGATATGAAGATTATGCTCATCCAGGTAAGCAAATGAGTCTTGCAATCTAAATGCTGTAAGATTCCCGATCACAGATAACGATCGGCAGTTAAGGAAAATGTGAAAATGAGAGGCATTTCCTTTTTCACAGATAGCTTATAAATTTATAGGTTATCGATCGTTAATCACCTGAATTCCCCACGTGTAAAATTTACATCGCATTGGCAATGTACAATTCCTCCTTTTTACATATAATAAAATAATTAATATTAAAAAAAATATATATATATATATATATATATAGGGCCTATATATATATATATATATATATATATAAAACCATTTCTAAAAAAACTTGATTTTATCACACATAAACTTTATTTTAAAGATTTAAAAGCAGTGATTCCTTTTCACTAAACTGATATACTTGTCTTAATTACACTATGCATATATTTTGAATATTTTTAAATGTTTTGGTGCGACGTGCTATGGGGCCAAACGCAATGAATCGGCTTATCGGCTTATTGCTTGTGCTCATCCCTTTGGTTGCGTTAGTTGAGTTTCGTCTCTCCTAGACATTTTCTAACACAATCTACATTGCTGGTTTTGTCAACACTGAGTGTATATGCATTCTTACAGTCGGTTACCGGATTACTGAACCCAGAACGAGGCTCGCATTTTGGACTAGGGTAAAACATTGGCTTGCGCCCATTACTCTCAATGTTAAATTGGTGAACTTTGATCGTTCATATCAAGCAGACCAGAGGACAATTACTAGTGACAACCACTTGGTTATATTCACTAGGGTTTTTAGCGTCAGTCAATGGGCCTCAGGAGGATTTTCTAGAGCTGATGGTGATTTTATCAGCGATAATACCAACACTCCTCCAACGGGCTGCAATTACAGTTTACACCAGATGCATGCTGTAATATAGGCATATTTTATCGTCTGTATCAAGTATATCTGTGAACAAATACGCGTGACAACTGTTTGTTGATATTCACTTACGTATTTAGCTGAGGGAAATGGCCATCAAAAGGATTTTCTAGCGTCAGTGGCGACTTTATCAACGATGGTGGTGTACTATTTTTAAAGCAATTTTTCCTACTGGGACACTATGACCTATACGCACCCAGTTCATTAATATACAGTCAGAATTCTTGTATAATAAAATCATTATCTAAACAAAGAAAACTGTTATATTCATATTGCTTTTAGAGTTCTCAGTTTGAAAGATTTGATAATCAGAAAAGGGGGCTTGGGTAGCATTGCTCACCTGTCGTGTTCAAAGCAGGTGTCTCAAGTAATGCAATAAATGTGCTTTCAAAAAGAATTTTAATTTGTCACTGCTGTGTTTTTCATTAAAATTTCTTTTTCTACTGTTGTCTGGATTATGTTTGAAGAGACTATAAAATACTTTTTCAGCTTTTATAATTTCTGCACAAAACGTAAAAAATTTCATTAGAGGCCTGCCAAAATTATTTTTCATAAATAGATTCATCCATAATTATCCAATTAAACAAAAAGTTTTGAATGAAAGCCTCACTTAAATCTTTTTAAGTTGTCAAAATCTACAAATCATTTTTGACTCTGATGCTAAATGAAGTTCATGATGTTTTTTTTTTAGAAAATAATATAAATTTAAAAGGTAGTTATTTCATTTTCATTTTTAGAACATCGGACTCAATATCACAATACAAAGTACGATCTATAAAAATCCAAATTGAATGCATATTTAACTGTCATAAATCACTTTGAATTCTTAAACAAAATGCAAAATGAAAGATACAATAAAACTTGTTGACTTTAAATTTACATTTTATTTCTATCTATATATGTATGTAAGAAAGGAGTTATAAAATTCCTTGACATATGCTGTAAAGTTGCATTCTGAATTAACATTTGTACAGTAAAAATGAATTAGGATTTCTATGATATAAAAAACTTAAGCAAATATAACAGTAGTGTCCAAAGGATAAAAACACTAAATCCATAACAAAAATTTGATTGCTGAGTGTTTTTTCTAATTGCAGGGGTTAATAAATTTTACTCAGCAAACAGCTCCACCCGCTAGTTTCTTCCAGTTCATATACTGGAGTATGTGCATTGATAGCCTTTCTTGCTATTCTATCTTGATGAAAGTGTGCAACATCACAAAGAAAAAGTATTAGTTATCTGTTCCAATAGCACATTATTGCCATTTACACACTTCATAATACAATAATTAAATTATTTATTGAGTATGTAAAAATTTTATTCCTGTCCATGATCACAATTCTGCATGTCTGCAGCAACATGGGTATTAAAAAATTACTAGAAAAAATTGTTCAAATTTTCAAAATGTACTTTCAGTAATAAAATCAGACTAGTAAACTGTCATTAGAGCTTTCTTTCAGCTCCCCTTTTCAAAGACAAATACAATGACCACACCTGTGAAGATCATATCTGTTTTAGTTCTATTTGCTACAATGACACCAACTGATAAGATCACTTTCTTCCAATTAAACCACCTCAAAGGGCTCTATGATTGTTTGAGGATCCAGGTAAGTTCTGTTCAATCGCTGTCAGTGGACAGATTCATCCGATAACAAAGCCATTGGAACTTCTTACCTGAAAAACAATCGGAACTAACTGCAGCTCATATAATAACAGTGTAAGAGAGGCGCATTTCAATCGCTGATAAAATCGGCATCAATGCTAGAAAAGGTCCTTGATGGCCATTTCCTGACACTAAATACCTATGGTGATATAATTAAACAGTTGTCAAGTTTAATTATCTACCGGTGTGAGAGATACAGACGATCAAAGTTGATCATTTTAACATGGGGAGTAATGGAGCTTACAGATTGTTTTACCCTAGTCCGGGCGTGGCGGCCATCTTGTGACGTCATGCCGACTGTAAGAAT